TTTACAAATGAATTATTAACTAAAAAATAACGGATTGCAACTACAGCCACAACGAATAAGCTACGAATTAAAAACGCAAGTTAGCAAGAAGAAGGACAAAACGTAACTAACTCTAAATTATGTGACAAAATCAAAAACTGTTCTGGTGCCACCACCAATACCTGGTATGCAACAAAAGAATACGAGCCAGAAGCCAATAAGAAGAAAACCCAACAAGGTATAACTCTGCCTCGAGCTATGAAATTACTGCAACCTGCATACAATTAAAGAGTATTGATGATAAAATTAACGAAGGTGGTTGATGTCAAATACTAATAATTGGGACCAAAAGAACATTGAAGAGATATTTCACTACCTTGCATGCATTTGAAATTATGGAAATTTCCAATACAACAAAATAAAATAGGTTGAATAATAATAAGCAAATTTATCTCTAACGACTAAATAAAATTTTAAAATGAAACTGAAACAAAATGTGATTTATTTTACAGGCAGCTTAGTATAATTACTTGACCTTTTAACGTTGTAGGCTCGCATGTGTGGAGATATACGGTCACTCGCAGTTTGTGTGTCATAGGTCAGTGCGTAATAGTATTTCTTCTACAGCTTCTAGACGAGCGTTTTCTTAACGCCAGCCAAATTGGACGTACGGGTCCTATATTTTGGGTGGCGTGTAGTCCTGATCTAAATCGGTTTGACTTCTTTGTATAGGGTTGTAGCCCGTATACCAAACGCCAGTACAGAACGCTTATTTGCAAAGCCGTGCATGGTCGCTGCAAATGAAGTACGCCAAATGCCAGACAATTATTGCGCCTATTTCTTTTTTATATAACGCTAACTTTTTCATTATTGCATCTAGTTAACACCTAACACTTGTTATTTATTTCAGAAACACCCTGTGTAGTAAAATTCATAATAAACCGAAATATAACTTTAAAAGATTTGTAAAATGGACCAACTGTTTTAAAGATGTTGCATGATATGATAACTCCAACTGCTTTGTTTATTTTTCAACTGACGATGAGTGTTTTGAGAATAGGATTGTATATTGAAAAAAATCAGTTAGTGTGATTGATTTCATCACGTTGTTCGTTTTTCCGTGTCAGGAACGTAATAAGTTCATTTTCAACAGTCACTTCGTACATATTTAACACAGGTTACGGAAGTTATTCCTCAATAACTTTTTACGTTTGCAACTTCGCAGACTTAGATGCCGATTTGCAATAACGAAACGAGGTCATAAATACTGCGCAATCTTCGTAATTGAATCTCAACTCTTATTTACAACGGACCTTGCGATCGCGTCTTTACTTTATTTATTCATTCGTTTTCTTCTTAAAGGATTTCTTAGTTAGTTCTTCTTCAATATTTGCAAATAGGTAACTGAAGTCAAGATTCGTACAGGACACGCTGAAAGGTTATTATAGGTATCTAGGTGAATTGGCTGTGATTTTTAGAATAACTGTGCTAGATGAAATTAAAACATTTATCCTTAAGTAAAACTACTTAATTAGTTCGGTTTATACGATTTATCAACATCGACCTACTTGAATTTTTCTGATAACTAGCAAAGATAGTTGTAATGTGTAATAATTTTACACAACAGAAGCCTGGTTTCTCTCCCCAAAATTTGAAAATATAGGACTTCAGTTTTCTGAATTACTTTCAATGATATCAGAAAAAAAATATTTCATTAATTCCTGAAAAAATGTTTGAGAAATTTGCTTTATGAAAATCTTAAATAACCTAAAATCGAAAAGATTTAAAAGTTATTGAAGAAAAGAAATTGTAAGAAAAAGCAATCGAACTAAAAACTTTATAATCAATTCGTAATCGGTGACCATAGGAAACTAAAAATACCTATAATTATTATTATGGTTTCTAAAATTCGTGGAGCAAATGTTGATGCTGTACTAAAGAGTTGAGTAAATTAGCCACTCATTTCCACTTAAGAAAATTAAATTTCAATGAACATTAGTAACATTTTAGCAGTAATTTTCCAAAGATAAACTTACATATATTAATTAACAATCTGCTAAATCGGCTTCTATAATACATTATCAAGGTATATACCTGTATTATGTAGTTGGTATGAACTGACCGGAATTTGTTACCTGATGTACACTCGTTCAGATCGTTTATATCACCTAGAAGCAGAGCCGGACTGAAGATTTTGGCCCGGGGTGCCACATGTAATCAAATGGCTTGGTTTAGAAGGGAAAGTGCACAAATTTTAACAGCACTCGTTTTTAATTAAATTTAAGCAGTTAGGAGGAAATTTGCCTTTGTCTTTGCCTCGGTCTTTGCTCTTGTTTTAAATTTTTTTTTCACATTTTTTGAGTCATTTGGCTCGGTTTGGCCCGGGAGGCATTTGACCCGGGGTGCATTTGCACCCCTGCACCCCAGGGCAGTCCGGCCGTCCCGCTCTTATAAGTAAACTTAAGTTTTTATTATCGCTCCTTATCTTAAATTAATATAAACATAATTAAAATGCCGTTGTGAGTATAAGCGCAAATGCGATAATTAGATGGCATTATAGCTCAGCAGCATTTTAATTGTGTCTGGGAGATGTTTGGCTGCTTACAAGAACTACTGAAATAGATCCCTTAGTATCATGTATAAAAATGAGTACAATTGCGATCTTATTTACGAATTTTGAAGCGTCTGGCAAATATTACCGCCGATGGGAAGTATCTGGTAGTGTCGATTATTAATTTTTAACAACATTCTGTGAACCATTATATAAAAATAAGCACTCAGACTTTAAGAAAAGCGAGTAATATTTTTACGTATCTAATACGTTTAACACCAAATCGGCAGGTATGCATACTTTCAAAGTACTAACACTACTTCATCCTATTCATTTTTTACTCAGAAAATAACTAACGTCTAGCGGTTTACAATCAGTTTCCATAATCTTCATCAAAAGGTCGCCAGTCTTAAGACAGGTTGGATACGCACCTCTACTCTTTACTATCCTGAGTTAATCTTCGCATTTTCCTAAAGCTAGAACAACCCATATCCTTAACTATTTGCGAACAGTAATCTAATCTAGGTCTACCTCTACCCCTACTAATTTCCGTTTCTGCCACTAATATGTCACTCACTAAACCTTCATGCCTGAGAAGGTGTGCTACTAACCTATCTCGCCTATTTTTTATTGACTTCCATAGAGTCCTCTGTTCTCATATTGTTTCTAATAGCTCTTCATTTCTAACCTTTTCTACCCACGATATTCTCATCATCCGCCTATAACACCACATTTCGAACGCTTCTAACCTTTTCATTTCCACCGCTCCCACTGTCCATGTTTCGCACTCATACAGCGCCGCGCTCCATACCTTTAACAATCTTTTTTGAATTTCTAAATTAACCGTTCCTTTATTATTCCATGAAATATTAAATAATGACAGAATTCCTCAAGAACTCCTGTATGAGACTCACGAACTTATTAAGACAGATGCATTTAATCATTTTAATTTGAAACAAATTTTATGTGTAACATATTATTAACGTTGTATCCCGTTTAAAAGTTTTAAATTTGACATAAAATTAGATAAATGTTGAGGTTTTTGTTTCAATAAGTCAGAAACAATTTTCCTTAATAATTACAAGATAGAAATAGAAAGGGCCCAGCATGTTTTTGAGAATTACCAAATATATTACTAATCGATTTCGGCCAAGCTTATACATGTATGTGGAAGATGAGTATTTCTACAGTATGTGGACCAAAGGAATTTACGTAAAAAGCGTTTACTTTCGAAAATATTCGCCTTGAATATTTCTAGGCACGTCATGATATTAAACATACATACATATGTGTCGTCAGTTTCCCACAGAAGATATTTTGGGTTGGTACAATCAATAAAATTAATGACGATTACTCAACGCAATCGTGTTAGCCATTAGAAAATAAATAAGCTATCTTTATTAGCAATAACCGTTCTGTCCACTTGATTACGTACAAATACGAAATATGATGGGTTAGGCGGCTGGGCAATGTAAATATGTTTTTCTGCATGCCGAGTGGGCAGTTTGATGGAAACCGAGAGAGTCGGACTCCCACGAAGCAGTTCGTTACTTCAATTTATACGTACAAGTCCGGATCTTTTATCATATAATACTAGCAGAGGTCCCAGGGCTCTTCCATGACTAATTTTTTAGTCGTAGAACCATTGAACAAGTTAGGCAACTTTGACCTCTTACGTAAGTTACATTTAGTCGTAGCGTAGGTCGAGAGTGTAGGTTTTTAAAATTGCTGAAGATTGTGTACACACATGAAATACGTAGATATGTACCTATGTATGTATCTATTTTTCTAACCATGTATACAAACAAGTATGATGTTAGGCAGATAGAAACAGAAATTATTTCTGCACAAGATGTAACTTCTATTAGCCAAGGAGGTGGTATTTTTTCCTTTAAATCTGAATCAATATGAAATAACTTTTTAAGGACATATTAAAAAACCAAACTATGTTTCTGTATAAAGGGAGTTAACTCCGTAAAACGTAGTAGAAAGACGTCAATCAAGTATTTTAAACATATATGTACCTAATTTTCAAAATCTGTCTGAAATTTGGAAATGTTTGGTAGAATAGCAAAGAAAAAATGAAAATTTATTAATTTTGGTATGAATTTGAAATTCGATTAACAGAGAGAATTCAATAAAAATTTGAACACATCTTCTTGACACATTGGCAAAGGAAAGTTTAAAATACCTTAGAGGTTATGTTTTCTCACAAAGTTTATGTAGAAATTTATCACCTTAAAATATACGCGACTAAATTTGAAAAATGTCAAATTAACCTAAAACCTTATTGCCTTCTCTGAGGTTTAAAAACTAATAAGTTTTTATTTCCAAATTTTATTAAAACCTAATCCTTCCAATTCAGTTAAGATGTATTAATTTCAGTTCCTTCATTTATCGATTAATGAAGGCACTTTTAATGGTACATACGTATCCTTCAAACAAGTAATAATAGTAATAATAAACTTACATTTTGTTTAATGTGCTCCTTCCTGCTGGTGCTTCTAATAATGCCAAACATGAAAACCCACAATCTGAAACAAGAAACTTTATGTAGAATTCAAATATTTTGTAGGCTTTCTGTAATATAGAATACCAAAGGTCTGAGCATTTTCTTGAGTTAAAGAGGGTTTTCGTAATGTTAGAGCACATTCCGCGGTAACCTAACTATAAAACATTCTTAATAATGTAAGGGAAAACAAAACAAAACCGAATAAAGTCGAAACAATTGTTGTCAGTTATCTAATGGGAGACTTTTGTTATATAAGGAAGGCAAAACATTCGTCGAACATAGAAATTACACATTTCTCTGTCACTGTTTTTTATTTTTATATTGCACGAGCGAAAATGCATAATTTCGTGAATGTATGGAATGAATTTTTTATCTATTCGCTATTTCTTCCCCTAGTTCTATATATATATATGAAAAAAGAGTCAAGGCCAATGTGGGTTGTAATGTCTTTATTTGATTACAGAACCGACACCAGCGTTTTACCTCTTGTTGTGAGAATTATCTAGGAAAACCTAGCTTGATAAAGCCTCCCAACAACAGGCGAAATATTACTGTCACATGAAGACATTACAACTTTCATTGACCTTAACTCTTTTTCATATATTTTTTATCACGGCCATCTGAAAATATCACCTGCCCTTCTGAATACTGTCTTAAACTAGCCGAAATTTAGACCTTAAATTGTATTTATTGAAAGCTCTCATAAAAGCCACCTTAACCTTAAGAGAAGGCTACCATCTAACACTTAACACATGTACACAACAATTATGCTACTTCTTTGTCAACAGAAAAGAAGAATGAATAGAAAAAAAAAACATTTTACTGAAAGGCGTCAGCTATTCAATGAAGTACCATAGTAGCATCGCTTTAAGTATTTGTTTTTGTTCATAATGAAGTTGTAAAGAACAGTGTACTAAGCATCTCAAACAACTTTTGTATTAGACTTTCTTTATTAAATGAAGCAATAGAAATCAATACAGAAATGGGCAAGTTATAAGATGATAGTACACCTGTTCATACACGAATCGATCAGAAGAAAAACGAACTGTGTTCTGTGACACACAGTAGAAGTGAAACTTCAACAGATAAATGGAAAACGAATGGCAACGGACAAAAGGAAAAACGATTGACAATAAAATTTTTACTTCAAGTTTTACGGGCAGATTGTTAATGTACTTGTCCAATTTGAAAACCTGCCCGTAAAATTTCAAGTAAAAATTTGGTTGCCATTCTTTCTTCCACTTGTCCGTTGCCATTCGTTTTTCCACTCGTCCGTTGAAGTTTCACTTCTACTATGTGTCCCACCACACATTTCGTTTTCACAGGTTTGCTGCAAATTATGATTTGGTTTTTACACAGGCCGCGAATAGAGGCAATAATGCCCAGCCACGTGGAGAGCAGAGGTAAGAAAACAACAGCTTAGCACAGCACACGCCGCCGGGACTCTAGTGGACTCTCCGCGCAGTTGCGCATTATACTCATCTAATACAGCCGTTGTCCTCTCTCCGCCGCCGCCAGCCTTTCTCTTCCTCCGCCACTGCCTCTTCTCACCACGCGATATACCGTCTATCCACTCCAAGCGGCCGTAACGCTTTTTCGTGACAGAAAAATCGTAATACCCCCCGTCTATATGAAGTTTCACTTCAAAAACAGGAGTAAGGAGGGGCATAGACAGACCTTGAAGAAGGAGCTGAACAAGATCACAAAAAATGATTTTTGAAGTGCTTCGAGAACCGGAAAAAAAACTTGGCGCGATACTTTTTGAACAGATCTCGTCTGTATCTATATGATCCGACGCCGAAATGATGATGAAATTATCATCTGAACAGCTAGGTAACGACAGGCTAATTTATTTCGGCATCCATCCGAATTCGGTATCTGAACCCAACGCGTTTCATAATAAAATCTATCCGTTTTCTTTAATTATGCAATTCCTTTCAGAAATCAGAGAATGATGTTACGTTTGTTGCAAATAATTTGCTAAAGTGTTACTGTTATTGTTATCATTGTAAACAATACAACCTTTCTGCTTTCCGAAAGAGAGAAAGACTAATCTGAAGGCTTGTAAAAAATCTACATCGTCGCTGGTTGTAAGAGCTATACACGCCAAATAATTGCACCAAGGATCTGTCTGACTCTTGAGCACGTCCCTGTGCACACAAGTGCTGTGTCATCGTGCCTAATCGAGAATCCTCACATAGTAATGGGATTCGTTCTGTTCTGTTCGTTTCTCTCATGCGGAAAAGGCTCGTTCCTTTGTCTACGACCTCTTGCGCTCTTGCCCTCTGAAATTTTAACGGAGGAGAAAGACACCCGAATGATGCAACTCTGCATACACATGGCAACGTCACATTTTATCATTGTTTGCCTGTATATTTCAACGATTTACAGAAGAGTCGTATCTATTCTTATTCGGAATACATTTTTACAGTTCATCTAACACTAAATATATATATATATATACTTAAGAATTCATTAATAAATATAATTGTTTCATCGATTCAGTGAATTATAACACTCATTGTAATTGTCTAGCAGCCAATTTGTAAGTCGTTTTGTCATTACCAAAAATTTTTACTATGGCTAAAAAACTTCCCCTTCTGCATTAACCCGCTTCACGTTTGGTTGCACTTGAGGAGGAATATGTTTTTAAACATAATTTATTTTTTTGTATAGTAACTACTTCTCGTGGTCGAAATTCAACCGATTTTGTGTCACTTTTTTGACTAAGTCATTGCATCGGCCGGGAGTCGAATTGGAGCTGCCGGCGTGACAGTTTCAACACACTCCTGTACTTCCAGTTACACCCTCTGAACTGCTATATCAGTATCTAATTCTACTTGGATATCTTAGTAATGCCTTTGTTTAACCTTTGAAATACTTCACTTAACAGCAAATATCATTAGATGGCGATATTCTTCCGTAATATGTTGTTATATAAACATGCATACACGGAGTATCTTCAGTTTGGTCAGTCCCTCTACCGAGCGGAATGATCTAGAAGTTTAGACCATTGCTTAGCTTTCGGGAGGACGCCGGTTCGATTCGTAGTCCGTCTGCCTTGGTCCAAGTTTAACGTTGGTTTCTTTGGATCACTTAGGCAAATGTTGGGGCAGTAATATTCCACAGATAATCAATCTTTCATTCTCTTCTGTCTTCATTCGTCCGTCTCATCTTTCTCACTCGAACCACCACCCACCCATTCCCACGATTCCTGAAAGGAGGCTGAACAGGGCCTTCCGCCCTATCTTCCGGTGCAGTTCGGAGGGACAGCCCGCCCACCAACATTACTGGCTGGTGGGAATGAAATACCCAAAAGTTTTTTTTCAATTCCACTTCCACGAAAACAAAAAAAAATCGATGACTGTCTGTAGCCTGCTAATGAAATATAAATCGCGATCAGTGATTACTGATTAAACTTATTTCGTTAGCCTCTAACGAAAATAGCGCTGCTTCCTTAGTTACTTATAGCTATATTCTGAAATGCCAGAACTACATCGTGGCTTCAATATGAACATGTATGCGTATCGATCCGAGTTGTCGCAGCCTCATTTGCTTCGTGTCTAATAAGCATAACGACAACAGCCCTTAGTAGTGGGTCGCTCTGTTGTAGATACTAATTAACGCTTATATCCGTAATTATCAACGTCGGATAAATTAACCTATTAAATATTGTCACCAGTGCATAGTGTTCCAAATTGAAGCGTATATACCTACAAGGCGATAACTCGCCAATTAACTAAGCCAACTAACTAGCACGCCTAAGTTACATTATAATATATACATATTACTTGTGTTCTACTAAAATGTTTCTAGAAAACAAAATGAATCTTACCCGTAAATATCATAAAACTTTGCTTACTTACTTTGAATGTGGGTATTATAAACAGTTCCTGCAATTTTTCGCCTCCTATTTTTACAGAAAGGATGGAGAAAAGGGCGCAAGAACTATTAGGGGAAGATCAATTTAGGTTTAGAAGAAATAGAGGAAAGTGGGAGGTCATTCTAGCTTTACGGGTAACAACAGAGAAAACGATAGGAAAAAGCGCATATACAGGATTTTTAGATTTAGAAAAGGCTTTTGACAATGTTAAATGGGACAACAAGAGTTACAAAAATAGAAGAGTGATACTTAGTTTGTATAAAAAACACTAGGCAGATATAGAGCTGGAGCAGCAACGAAGAGAAGTAAATATTAGGAAGGGAGTTAGATAAAGCATGGTCACTGTCACTGCTACTTTTTAATCTATACATCGAAGATGCGATCAACGTAATTAAAGACAGTAGACCATAGGGATAGATATAGAGGGGCAAAAGATTAGGAATCTTATATTTGCAGATGGTAGAGCAGTATTAGCATCTAGCAAAGATTAGTCAGAGATAGCTTTAAATGAAATGAATGAAAATAAAAGTAAAACGAAAATACTGGTATGCAAGGGAATAAAACGTAGGGAAAGAGCGAATATAAAGATAGGAGACGAAAAATTAGAAGAAGTGGCATTTAGGTATCTAGGAAGTCAGATTAGTTAGGACGGAAGGAGTAGTAGGGATATAAAGCAGAGGATAGCCCAGGGTCGAGCCGCCATCAATAAAAAGAAGTCACCTCTATGCTCGCGAACGATTAATTTAGAAATTCGAAAAAGGTTGTTAAAGGTGTATGACATGAACGGTGGGCGCGGCGAAAAAGAAATGATTAGAAGCGTTCGAAATGTGGTGTTACCGGCGAATGATGAGGATACCGTGGATAGAGAAGGTTAGAAATGAAACGGTATTAGAAAGAATAGGAGAGCGGATGACTCTATGGAAGTCAATAAAATTAGAGGAGATAAGTTGGTAGGACACCTCTAGTCAGAGACATATTAGAGGCAGAAACAGAAGTTAAGAAGAGTAGAGGTAGGCCTAGATTAGATTACTGTTCGCAAATAGTTAAGGATGTGGGATGTTGTAGGTTTAGGGAAATGCGACGATTAGCTCAAGATAGGAAAGAGTGACGGTGTGTGTCCAACCAGTCTTAGGACTCAC